ACCATGTCTGGTATTTTCTAGCTTTTCTTATGTAATCAAGCTGAGGGAGGTGTGTTTGGACAGAAGGACATGGGTGCCCTGGCATCATGTGACATGAGTCATATGAGATAACAGGGGCCACTGATTCCTTGGCATATGTATGTAGAGTTGGGGATACCCACCCCCCTCTTTTCTCTTCTTGAGAGGTCAGACCTCGGACCTCAATTAATCCACTTATTGATTGGTATTCCATCAATCTTCTCAATTGGGCACTAGTGTGGTGTGTGGTTCCAACATCCCACGACATGCAAAAGAGGCTAGACCAGCCAGCTGCGCCCACGTTATGTCTCCTGGAGCACAAGACGAGGGGCGAGCGGCCACGATGGACTAAATCCTGCCGTCCTCTCTAGAATACCCTATACAGTGTGTATTGCACTTTATTTTGCCTTGAGCAGCATCACGAGAATTGTGTGGAGTGGAGAGGACACTTGGGGACACCAGGAGCCTGAATCCCGGCGCCAAATTCTCTTCCAGTACATGTACCTACCTGACTCAGGTAATGATACCTTACTGTACCTTCTACCATGACCACCACGACAGAACTCGCCGAGCGGTGGCTCACACAGGACAAAGATGCAGAAACGAGGTCGCAAATTGAAGACCTCCTGCGCAAGAATGACTCCGCCGAACTCGAACTGCGGCTGCGGAACCGGATCGCGTTCGGCACTGCGGGCTTGAGAGCCTCGATGAAGGCGGGCTTCGCGCATATGAACTCTCTGACTGTGCTGACGGCCTCCCACGGCTTGGCCGACTATGTCCTGCAGCAACACAAGCACACGACTCCTGTCGATCAGCTCGCCATCGCTGTGGGATTCGACGCACGCTACAACTCCGAGAAGTTTGCACGCTTGGCTGCGGCGTCGTTTCTCCAGAAAGGCCTGAAAGTGTTGTGGTTTGAGCAGATATGCCACACACCCATGATCCCCTTCGCCGTCAGCCACTACCAGGCCGCGGCTGGCGTCATGGTCACCGCAAGCCACAATCCCAAGAATGATAATGGCTACAAGGTCTACTGGTCGAATGGAAGCCAGATCATCCCACCTCATGATGCTGGCATTGCCAAGGCGATCGATGAGGTGAAGGAGATTCTGACCTGGGATACGACCCTGGTTGATGGACACGAACGCGTGCAGAACGTCTTCTCAGAAGCATCCAAGTTATACCTGGATCGAGTTCGCGAATTGGTCTGGCCCCTGCCTTCTGTCGAGCAAGCCATGCCCTTCACCTATACCCCCATGCACGGCGTCGGCTTGACGATGATGAAGCAAATCGCGTATATGCTGTGGTTTCGAGGCCACTTCATGCGAGAAGTTGCTCAACAAGCACAACCCGATCCCGAATTCAGCACGGTCCCATTCCCGAATCCCGAGGAGAAAGGTGCGCTCAATCTGGCCATCCAGGAAGCGAACAAGAACAACACCGACATCATCATCGCCAACGATCCCGACGCGGATCGGTTCTCTGTTGCACAACGGATTGCCAAGGGACAATACCACCAGTTCACCGGTAACCAGATTGGCATTTTGTTCGCTTCCTTTGTGTTTGAAACATACACTGGCGACAAGACTAAGCTCGCCATGCTTGCCTCCACCGTCTCGTCGAGAATGCTCGCTAGCATGGCCGCCAAAGAAGGCTTTCACTTCCAAGACACTCTAACCGGTTTCAAATGGCTCGGCAACGTCGCCCAAGACCTACAGAAACAAGGCTTCGACCCCGCTTTCGCCTTCGAAGAGGCCATTGGATTCATGTTCCCCACCGTAGTCTGGGACAAAGACGGCATCGCCGCTGCAGCAGTCTTTCTCACCGCCTGGCAGAGATGGAAAAAGCAAGGCATGACACCCTGGCAAAAGCTCCAGCAACTCTACCAAACCTACGGCTACTTCGAAGACGCCAACACCTATCTCATCTCACCCGCACCCGAAATCACCAATCGCGCTTTCGAGAACATCCGCACTTCCCACGCCGGCTCTCGCCCCGTGCAGCTCGGCACGCGCACCATTCTGCGCTGGCGGGACTTGACGGTCGGATATGACAGCGGCACGTCCAATCACCAACCCGTGTTGCCCGTGGATGCGAGTGCGCAGATGATTACGTGTGAGCTAGAGCAGGTAGTGTTTACCGTGCGAGGCTCAGGGACAGAGCCCAAGATCAAATTATATATTGAAGGCCAGGCCGAAACGTCGGAGGAGGCGAAGAAGCTGGCGCAGGAGGTTTTGCAGGATTTGTTGCGGGAGTGGTTTCAGCCTGATGTGTATGGATTGAAATTGGCTGGGAGCTGATTCTAGAGGAAGAGTATAGATGTAGGTAGGTATAGGATGTATTTGCCTTTGGAATACTACATTACCTACCTACTACCATATTGGCGATTTTCTTTTCTTTTTGTTTCCGGTTTCTTTTTTTTTGGTCTCCCTGCTCTACCTTAGGTACTTACCTACCTACCTACCTACCTACCTACCTTATTCTTCTGCTAGGTGAGGAGGCCCTTGAGATTTGCTAACAGACAATCTTTGTTCGCATCGATGTGCAGGCAACAACTACATGTATGTAGGTATTTACCGAACGGGCTCGTGGAATAGACAAGGAAGAAGGTACCTGCCATGGTATTGAGAAACGGCAGGCACGCGCACTGCACTGATCGCACCTTCACCTACCTCACGTACCTTACCTAGGTACATGTACTTTACTATGCGACGAGCCCAGTATTGTACTGACTGTATCTCGTAATACCTTAGTGTAGGGCTTTGGGTTGCAACTTGCTGCTAGCTTGGCGAGCCGTCGGCCATTCTTTTTCAAATATGTACCTATCCTACCAACGCCATCGCTTCGAGACAAGAAAAAGAAAAAAAAAAGAGAGAGTATGCGGCAGCAACTCGGACGCACTCTCTTTCCTACGAGTTCATCTTCGGCTTCGCTTTTGCCGCTTTCTTCTCCTTGGCCTCTTCCTTTTTCTTTTTCCTCGCCGCCTCAACTTTCTCCTCATTCTTACGCTTCAAACTCGCCTTTTCATCCTCCGTCTTCTCTTTGACTTTAAAGAACCCTTCGAGCCGAGATTGCTGACCCGATTTGAGATTTTTCTGGAGTCGTGTCGCTGCCGATCGTACTCGATCTTCGCTGAAACCTTTTTCTTCCACTAAGAATTTCACTAGCCCTTCTACGTCGGGAGCTTCCCATTTGAAATCACATTCGGGTGCGTCTGCTGCGCGCACGTCGGGCTCTTGGAAGAGGAGTCGAGCTTCCTGATATGGCCAGTCTTCGGGGAGGGTGTACTTGCCCGTCTTTTCGATGTGTTCGACGACTTTCTCGAGTGTCTTGTGCTCTTTGATCAGTGCGTGAGCATTTTTGGGGCCGATCCCTTTCACTGGGTCGAGATAGTCGCAGCCCAGCAGAATGCACATGTCGATGAATTGATTGAGATCAAAATCTAATCCTTCCAGCACACGATCGAGGTGGATTTCCTGGATGGGCTCTTTGCGCTGTTCCGAAAATGTCAAATGTCGCAGCAAGACGGGAGCGTTGAACGTCAACGTGTCCATGTCCTCGGAGGCTGCGGCGTAGACTTTTCCCGCTCGGGCGAGCACAGCGCATTGGGCTTCTGCCTCTGTCGGCGCCACAATATATGGAACTCCCATCAATTTCAACAGTCTCTGCGCTTCGGCATTGTGCTCCTTGGTCACTCGCACCGTTCTCCTCGAAAATCGCTCGACCTCTTCTGCAGTGCCAGTTTCCTTGGCTTCCTCATGTTGTTCCTGGGCTTCGCTCTTTCTCTGAAACCGCTTCGCCAGCTCTCCGCTCTTCAGCTTGGGCGGCGCTCCATCGAAGACATATAGCGGCTTGATCCCGTTATCCACAATGCGGAGCGTGCGGTAGAACATGCCCATGAGATGGGATGTGGTCTCGCCCGTGTCCGACATCAGCTGTTCTCCACCAGATCGGACGGCGATGAGGAACGAGTAAAGCGACATGGAGGCATCGATGGCAACTTTGCGGCCGAATTGAGTCTTGATCTCGCCTTCTTTAACGGCATCTGGGCAGTTTTCGCGTATCACTTGGTACAGACCTGGTCCGAGTCAGAAGTAGAACGGGAAAAAGAAATGAGTAAGTTGCCTTCGACTTACTCTTGATACCCATGTTTGCTACGATGGGAGGCGTTACCTTGCTGTCGTTTCTGCTATGGGGAAGTTGAAGCCGAAGTTGAAGTCGCGATAAAGTTGAATAACGCGTCAAGGTCGCGTCAAGAGTGGTGACGTCGGCCTTATCTCAGCTCTCAGACGCGCTCTGGGAGGAGTACCTCCTAGGAGGTAAGGCACGGTAACAAGCTCTCGCTTACGTGGACGCTAGACTGTTTCTGCTGACCAAAAGACCCGCTTTTCAGACTTTTGACTAATCATGTTGGTCTTCAGCTCTTGGGTCTTCTGTCACATGATATCAATCTCGGATATCGATTGGCTGAATGCTCTCCCCAGTTCTAAAAGAGTAACGGAAGCCCGGGTATAGCTGTAAATGGACTAAGGCACAAAAGTGCAGAGGGTCTAAGTCGCGAGATAACGCTGCTCTTACCCCCGGACTGCCTCGCACATACAGCACAATGCATGTAGAAGTACCCTGTCCTGTACATGAGAAGTGACCTTCTCAGGCTCATATGTCAACACACGATGAGATGCTTATAAATCTCCTCCAACAACATTCATAATTCCCGCGAGTGTGAGTGAGAAAGACTAAATGCCGTGCACTTCCAGACCCTGTCACTGGTCAGCTCCGGCCTCGGCCAGAACATCGTCCTCGGTTCGACATTCGAAAGCAGTACTTAAATTTGATAGCTCACAAGCACATCATTCACTTCCACTTTGGATAGCTGCATTCCACAGAATTCTTAGATACATACGCACTGTCATAATACAGCATGTATAAATCTGTCGTCACCCGCGCGGCAAGGCAGCTCGCTCAACCCATTGGCCGCCGATATGTTTCTACGCCTGCCGCCTTCGACTGGAGAGACCCTCTAGGAGCAGCGTATAACTTCACAGAGGAAGAGCAAGCAATATCAGAGACTGCAGAGTCATACTGCCAGGAAAGAATGCTTCCAAGAGTCCTTGGTTGGTAGTGATTTTGAGAGGTGGCGGGTACATGTAGAATGCAATGCTGACCAATTCTGCAGAGGCATACAGAACGGAGACTTATGACAAGAAAATATTGGAGGAGATGGGAGAGCTGGGCTTGCTCGGTGCCACGATACAAGGCTATGGCTGTGCAGGTGTTTCTTCAGTGGCATCTGGGTTGATTACACGAGCAGTGGAAAGAGTGGACTCGGGCTATCGATCAGGAATGAGTGTGCAGTCCTCTCTAGCAATGGGCGGCATTGAAGAGTTTGGATCAGAAGAGCAGAAGGAGAAGTTCTTGCCAGAGATGGCAAAAGGAAGGATGTTGGGCTGCTTTGGTCTGACGGAGCCTAATCACGGCTCGGATCCTGGAAGCATGGAGAGCGTGGCGAAGCCACATCCTACGAAAGAAGGATACTATAGCTTGTCGGGCTCCAAGACGTGGATCACAAACTCTCCAATTGCAGATGTATTGCTCGTATGGGCCAAGCTACAGGAGACGGGCAAGATTCGTGGCTTCCTCATTGAGCGATCAAAGTGCCCACCGGGCACACTTGAGACACCAAAATTGGGAGACAAGAACGGTCTCCGAGCATCTATTACTGGCATGATTCACATGGATAACCTGCCAGTAGCAAAGGAGATGATGTTTCCAGAGATTGAAGGTCTGCGAGGTCCGTTCTCATGCCTGAACGGTGCCCGGTATGGTATCGCGTGGGGGGTGATTGGTGCGCTGGAGGATTGCATTGCTCGTGCCCGAGAGTATGCACTCGAGCGCAAGCAATTCAAGGGCAATCCTATTGCCAAGTACCAGCTTGTGCAGAAGAAGCTCGCAGATGCGACTACGGATGCAGCGTTCGGGATCCAAGCTGCATACCAAGTTGGGCGTCTGAAGGACGAAGGCAAGGCTGCGCCTGAGATGATTTCTATGATCAAGCGCCAAAACTGCGACCGCGCACTGATGGGCGCACGAAACCTGCAGGAGATATTTGGTGGCAATGCTGCCAGCGATGAGTACCATATTGGCCGACATGTCTCGAACTTGTTTGTGACTCAGACATATGAGGGCCAGAGCGATATTCACGGTCAGTCCCAATCCCCCTTACGACAATGTAGTGTCGTGTGCGTTAAAGCGATGTGCTGACTGTGAAACCCAGCTCTGATCCTTGGTCGGGCCATAACCGGCATCCAGGCCTTTGTATAAACACTGGGGGGTTTCAGGTTGCCGTCAGTGGACGTCATTTTTGAGGCAGCCGGTATAGCGTTCAGCCCTAACGAGCAGGATATACCGCTTCGACGAGTGTCAATATACCTATGTAGCATACACTCGTGGAACATGACTGAATGTGAGCAATCCATCACCAGGAGAATTGATTCTATCGTACATGTAGTCACTAAGACAAAGACGGCACGTGCGTACACCAAGTGAACGGCCCTGCATTGTGTCACCAGAAGCGCCATGTCTCCTTCATATAATGTCCCCGCCCGTTTGTGGCAAGACAAGTGAAGTTGTCCCTCATCTGCTTTCTAAAACATCACATTCCTGTCAAACTGTGTCCCGTTGCACGATCTTCCCTCTGCCAGTCGCTCGTTCGACGGAATCGGGAGCGCGCGTGAAGTGTTCGGGCATCAAAGAAATAAGGCCGCTCTGCCACTAGTGATTGTCAGCCAGCGACGCTTGACGCCTCAGGCCGGATAATCCCCGCCGCCTCGTCGACTACTTCGTCACTCTCCACAGGCTTCGTCTGCGCTTGACCCTACAAACCCTTCCATCTGCACCCAACAACAACAACCACTCCCACTCCCACTTGCGCACCACCAGACACCACAGCGACGTCACACATACACACGCGACCCTCGCCGTTGCTTCCACCACATCTCCCAACATGGCTCTGAAGCGCATAAACAAGGAGCTGACGGATCTCGGACGGTACGCCGCCGTGAAAATGCACCGCTACACCTCCAGTGGCCACCATACTGACGGCCTCGCAGTGATCCTCCCTCATCGTGCAGCGCTGGACCGATCGGTGATGACTTGGTACGTACGCATCTTCTCCCGCCGTCGCCTCCCGGGGTCCACGTCGCAGGGCCTGCACACCCCGTCGAGCCTGCGGAAAGACGAGTGAAAAGCGCATGTGACTGACCAGATCGTGTGCACACAGTTCCACTGGCAAGCGACCATCATGGGCCCGGGCGACTCACCATATTCCGGCGGCGTCTTCTTCCTCGCGATCCACTTCCCGACAGACTACCCGTTCAAGCCTCCAAAGGTCAACTTCACCACCCGCATCTACCACCCCAACATCAACAGCAACGGCAGCATCTGCTTGGACATTTTGAGAGATCAGTGGAGCCCTGCCCTCACCATAAGCAAAGGTTTGTCATTACTGTATCATACACACCGTTTTCGCGCACCGGAGCGAAAATAGAGGGGCAGATACCCTTGATGGTGGGGTAATTCGGAGCCCAGAATACGCACTAACGGTTCATGACAATAGTGCTCCTCTCTATCTGCTCGATGCTCACGGACCCGAACCCAGACGACCCACTGGTGCCTGAAATCGCACATGTCTACAAGACCGACACGTCCCGATACGAGGCCACCGCGCGTGAGTGGACCAGGAAGTACGCCATTTAGAGAGCAGCAGAGCGGCACAGACGGTGGACGTTATCAACGACGGACGAGAAACCCCTGAGATGGCATGAAATATCTCGAGGTGGCATGAGTGGCTGCTTGACCGGCCGTCTCGCAACGGTCATGCCTGACAGCTCTTGCGGGGCGGGCTCACTGCCTCGCCAAGGGGCATTGCGAACAGGACATGACATCGGGCGGGATTAGTTTAGGCGGCATTATGCTATACGGCAATGGCAGAGTGCTTTGACGACGAGTTGCATTGAATGTCTTCAGGGACTTGAGTTTTCATACATGGATCGTGCGTTGTGGAGCTGTTAGTGCTATTTTTTCTGAAATTTTGGGGACCTTCTTTTGAAACATGATTTGTCGTCAGTATGTTAACAACATCTCCTCGCATACATTGGTAGTCTTCTAGAGTGAGTGAGTGAGTGAGTGAGTCAGTGAGGCAGCATGACGTTCAACGATAGGAGGTCACGTAGGTAGGTAATGAATATATGTGACAGGTAAGTGAAGTGAAGTGAGGAGAATTGACTGATTGATCTAGGTAGTAGAGGTAAGGTAGGTTTCCTTCTGACTACGTATGAACATCCAGATCCCGTCAACATACAAATCCCCACCACGCCATCACTTCATGGCAAAGAAATGCACGCTATCAATCAAGTTGCTGAGGTACAAGTACCTTACCTCCTCTGCCGATTCGGTTATTGCTGAAGATACGGCGAACGAAAATGAGCGAAAGTCTTACCGGCAACGACCTAGAAACAAGTACCTGCCATTGTGTAGCTTTCCTTTTACTCCATATCAACATGATGAACGTGAACTCGCCCATTCGAGACTACAGGCGAAGAATAACGGAGCAAGAATAATGAATCATCCCAGGCGTGCACAACTACAGACAGACTACGAAATCCTTCTTTCCTTCCTTTCCTCCTCCCCTACTCCATGTGATATTCTAATAACCCCCCTCCTCCCCCTCCTCACTCCCCCTCTCCACCGGCAAAATCGTAGGTCTCATCATGATCCTCCTGCGGTACCTCACCACCCCGTCCAGACAAAAGGGCTTCGGCCTCCGATAAGTATACCCAAAGAACGCCCTCTTCTTTCGCACCTCCATCACCACCTTACACATGAGCGGATCACGCAACACCTTGTCCCGAGCCCTCTTCCTCTCCTTCTTGTGTCGCTGTTGCTGTTGCTGCGGAGGAAGCGGCATCTCGTGTCCCCCATCAGCCATATGCTCGGCAATCTCGACCATGCGCTGCGCCCTCCACTCCTGATACCGATTGCCAAAATGCTCCTTGATGCGTTGCAGTTCTGCGTCGGGATACTGGTCAATCCCGAGTTCCATCTTCTCGCGCTGTATCTTTTCCGCCTTCCAGCGCTCAAAGTGTGCGCCGAGCACCAGCGCGGCTTCCCCCTCGTCAGCGTCGTCTGGAATAAGGTCCCTGACGCTGGCAAAGCTGGAGCTTTCGACCGACATGATGTCTTTTTCGTCTTCAAAGTACTTGGTGATGGACTGGTTCTCTTTCACTTTGGGTATAAACGGTGGCGTGCTGAGATGCATCTGCGTCCAAGGAACATCGGCGAACCAGGGGTGCTTCTTGATCTCATCCGCATCGTTGGAGAACACATGACGGGCCAGAGGATTATTGTGCGACGCGGACAGTCTCCGAATGGGCATCCGTGGATCCGAGTGGCGATATTGTCGAGAGCTCAGTCGTCTCTCCTTCTCACATAGTAGTCCACGGAGAAGATCGACTGCCCAATCGCTTGGTGTTGGCAGCGCAATTCTCTGAGGTGTCAGAGGCCGAGCGAACCGCTCCTGCATTGGGAAATGCAATGTATGTCTGTGATTGACGATACACTCCTTGGTCTTGACTCGCGTCTCGCTGTAAAATGGAGTGCGACCGTACAGGCATTCGTAGAGAATGATGCCGATGCTCCACCAGTCACAGCGGCCGTCATAGTTGGCACCCAGGATGACCTCAGGTGCCATGTATTGACTGGTGCCGACGACACTGCGGGCCATCTTTCTTCGATCATGGCGATTGCGCCAACTCAACAAGCCTTCGCGGTGTGCATGCTCTTCGGCCTGAGCTCTGGTGAGGAATCCACTGCGAAGGTCGTTAGTTTCGAGCTCAGAAGTTGCCTGGCAGCATTATACTGAGGGGCATAGCGTACCGTCTAGGAGGTGAAGGAGGCTTGAACTCATGTTCTGGACTGCCGAACTCCATCTCTTGTGCGACATCCAGCTCATCGCCCGTGGGTTTGATGCCAACTCTCTCCAGCATCGTCTCCCGCACATTGGTGTAGTAGAGCTGGCTATGAGCCCAGTGCCCATCGAATGCGAGCCCAAAGTCAGAGATCTTGAGATGTCCCGAGGCGCTGATAAGAAAGTTGTCCGGCTTGACATCGCGATGGATCCATTTCATGTTGTGTGCTTCCTCGATGCACAAGATCATCTGCGCAATGTACTACTTGGCATGAGACTCTTCCAGTACATCTTCACGCAAGAGCAAACCGAGGAAGTCGCCACCGATCATGTACTCCATCACGAGGTACAGGTTCGTATTGTCTTGAAAGCTTGCGATGAGAGGCACAACCCAGCGCGAGCCCTCCGCGGCCACCAAGAAATCACGTTCGGCTCGCAAGTGACCTTCCTGAGCGGCGCGAAGCATGTCGGACTTGCGAATCACCTTCATGGCAAAGACATCTGACAGCGGCTTTCCCGAGGGCAAGTTCCGCTTCGCAGTGCCGTTCACGGGTGAAAAATTCTATAATGTTCGTCAGCAGAGGCGTTGACCAAGACATGGTAGCATCATCCCGATATGCTCACTCGTGCCGGAGAGCTGCCATCATCAGCACTTGCAGGACGCTCAGTCACCAAGCGAACCACTCCGAAGCTGCCTTTGCCCAAAACGCGAATGACATCGAAGCCTGCTATATTTACGCCTTTGATCTCGTGTCGCTGCATCGCACTCGCCTTCAGACACCTCATCTGCCGTAGATGTTCACTTTCAGACTTTTGCCATTGCTGCTATGCAAGGATGCGGTCATTGTGGGGCATGCCCAATTCGTTTAGATATCTCTCAAACTTCTTTTTGCGCAAAGACCTGGGCGAATGTGGTTCTGTGAACACAGGATTGTAAATTGTTTCGAGTGCACATTTGGCTGCTGAGGCATTCTCCACAGTCACTACCGTAGGCTGCGTTACATCCCGATTTTCCTGGACGGGAATCAGGACAAATCGTCCATTATCTTCTTCAATCGGTGGCAATGACAAGTCGTCGCCGTTGCCCGTTCGAGTGGTCTGATGCTGGCATTCTTCGGGAGAAAGTCGCTTGCGAGACCCAGACGAGTGGTGTGATGTAAATGAAGTGGCTGCAGTCGAAGCTGTACTGGCTGGCGACCAGGCACTCTTGGAGTCATTGCTGAATGGCGACGCTGGCGAGGATGTGCTTGGCAACGTGTGTCGGTGCTCGACAGCATGGCCATTGCTGATCATGCCATCGAACGTAGTGCTGATGAACGGGACATTTGGCTTCTTCTTCGATCTAGCGCGGTGGATCACAGTGCTGTCACTGTACCTCAGCTGGTGCTCATGCGGTAGTCATGACAAATATGCGCCCAGTGCTTACCTGGGAGCCGCGTCCAGATTCAGTTTCTCCGTCAACTCTTCCAAGCGCGCCGCTGATTTCGGCGAGAGACTTCTGGGCTCAGAGACCTGTGAATCATCGCATGAGGCAGACTTTTCTACATATTGACCATCAAGCTGATCGATAGCGCTTGAGGTACCAGGATGTTGCTCGAAACGGACAGAGCGCTTCCGCTTGGGGGTTGCTTCCTGTTGACTAGATGACGACTCAAAAAGGCCTCGAAGACGCCCAACACGTGGTCCTACAAGGACTGGCGGCAGCGGCAGAGGAGCGAGGCGATGGTTCGGCTCCGTTGCGCCATCCATCATCGGTGGTTCCGACCCTGGACCCGGAATCAGTACACTCGCGTTCGAAGTGCATACAGCATGTCATGAACCTCTGTGGTTTGGCCGTATCCTGACTATGATTCTCGAAGCTGTTCGTCGCAGCTTTGCCACGCCAGACACACGAGGGACTGGCGGCTCCGCAGGCGGCGGACTGGTTGCTGTGGCCTGAATCACAACGTTATGCTGCTGGGGCTGCTCGTGACGAAAGATACGGGATATCTTTCGGGTGAGGAGATTCGAAGGGCGCTGTTCATGAGACCTGACAAAAGGCATAACTCATGCCGTGCCGAGGGAGTATGAATAGATGAATCAATGGCCACGTCGGGCATACTGGACCTGATGGAGCAGAAGAAGCAAAGAGATGGTGGAATGCCTATGGAGCATCCTACCTGCTGCGGTCATCCGTGCCTCACTTGCCTACTATACCTACTACCTGCTGTTCCTACGCCACCACCTTTCTAGAATCTCTTCTGAGGAGATGGCACCCGGTGTACTAATGGCAAGAGCGGGCTTGACTGTTTCCATTGACTGCTTGACTGCTTGTTTGCTTGTTTGCTTGCTTGCTTGTAAGGAGAGGACCGGCCTCTTGCATACATTACCTAAGGTATCTTGCATATATCGTCGCGAGCTACCTACCTATAGTACCTCAGTAATGTATCTGTCATCACATGACTTTTCGTCGCACGCAGGTGAAGTATAAGGCTAGGAGGTACGAGAACTTCGAGAAGTACCTACTATAGCTTATTAATCGGTGATTGTATTGTGGCAATGTTCATTTCAACAGGCCGGGATGTCCATGTGCGCAGTGTAAGCAGAGGCGGAGTCGTTGCACGGTTGCAGACAAAGGAATATGAGTGGTGCAATCAGGAAGTCACGTGTCTCGGCTCGGCTCAGGCCGGTTGTCGTCTCAGATTCTTGTCGCACATCGAGTCGAAGAGGAGTCTTGGTCGAACCTTCTCGCTGTCGCACGCACCGCATAAGTTCTACCAGACGATCCGACTACGACGCTGATCTGACACCTCCGACTCGCAAGTACCTACCTCGTCTACACAATCACCACCCTGCCGCCATTAACGCCTACGACGCCCGCTTTCGAGACATCTCACTCGCACCAAGACGCCCCATCTTCCGAATTCGTGACCGTGGCAATATCGACGCAATGGCGATGTTAGACAGTAATTACAGTCAAAGTAGTAGTAATTACCACCGCAAGATCAGCGCCGAGTCTTCGCGCCGCTCGAACACGCAGGCATCGGCCTACACTGTTGACGCCAGCAGCATGGCGTTGACCGGCTTCCATTTCTCCACTCCAGGCGCAGAGGGGCCGGCGTGGTGGGTTTGAGGTCCCTCCAGGAGGCGTACCTTCACCACCGTCGTCTCCGGACGCCGCGCCAGTAGGCATGGACAACAAACCCCGTCCAAGCCTACGTCGCCAGCGCAAGCGATCCGGAGACGCCGCAACTTACATCAAGGAAGAGTGTGAGAGACTCTTCTGCGAGACGCTGAGGACTGTATTCTTGGTTGAGAAGAATACTGGTTTTGAGACCTCGCTACTGATGGACTTGCGAAACACACCGACGACGATAACTACTACCTCCACGGGAAGCAGACCGATACCACAGCAATCGCATCAGACCATAATACAGCATGGACAGCCTACGCCTTCTTCGTCACCAGCTGCGCACTTGTACGCCGGAACGAAGGAGCTGATCAAGGACTATGTCGAAGTATGGGACTACGTGGCCGGCGCGCGCTTCAGAGGTTTCGTCGCGGAGAAAGGAGACATGCGCAGCATGTTCATCTTCTTCGACAAAGAAGTCATTGGCATGGACTTGAAGCCTGGGTAAGTCGTAACGCAAGCTCAACTTTTTATCCTCCCGACCCCACTAACAAAATCCGCAGTCTCATGTCACTCCTCGAACTGGCTAGCAGCGATCACTTCGACTGCACTGAACTCGTTGTCGGCATCGAGCGGCCGGCCGCAGAAGTTCTGCCAGCGAACTCGGAAGAGGCAGAAAGAGCAGAAACGTTCAAAGATCTGAATCGCTCTTTAGCCTGGGTTGGATTTGAGCTGACCATGCTCGAAGCATGGGCTGGTTCTGAAGGCTGCATTAGCGACCACTACATCTTCCTCAGCATGGATCTTTGATTGACCACGTTGCGCGACCGTGCTGGTCCGAATGCGTTTGTGTGCAGCAGAGTGCCCAGCACCGCTCGATTCGACAGGGTGGAGAAGCCCTGCTTAGCACACGCGGCATCCATCGCATCCTGCATGAACACATTTTCTTTCCTCCTGCCTGCGTCATGCATGCATGGTCCGGGTTCATTCCATTTACGCATTACACACACTAAGGCGACGGGAGAGACGTGATGGGCCATGTATTGGCTGGGTGTTTGACCGGTTTTTCTTGTTTTCTGGGGCAAGGCAAAGACAAAAACAAAAGTGTGGAGTTCTTGGATTGTCGCCAGGCTTTTGCTTTCACATGCGTGTTGCGTTCGCCTTCATATGTGTAAAATAAGGACTCTAGTTCGTTCGTTATTCCGACGCGCAAGATGTACCGCGATTGCGTCCTCCATCTTGCTTTTCGCCATTAAGCATGTAGTGATTGTGGTGCTTTCAGTACAAGCGCATACCTTAGTGATATTATGTTGATTCGCATCGGGCTATGAATGTATTCGGAACCCATCCGCTCGTCTACATGTATTGACCCTCATTTGTGGAATAATCTGTCGTAGTACGAAGTCATCTGCACCGCACCTCAAGCAAGCAATTTGAAGCGTTTTGCCAGGTGATGATGCATCCATCGTCCACGGCGATTGGGTGAATTTCCAACTGTCTGGGACACCTGCGACCAAAGTGGTCATGAAGTTCGCGTCAAATAATGTCAACATTCTGGGAAGAGCAGTCTAGGGAACAAATGGACTTTTTTTCAGCAGCGCTACCGGATTCCTCTAGCCTCACAAAATTCATCAAGCATTAGACAGAGTCATCAAGTGTATGGATCCGTTCATGCTGTTCCACACTCATCAAGTCATGTGCACACCCATACTTCTCATATGCATGCGGCCTCCTCCGATTCGTGCAACCGATGGTCTCCTTTCACATCTACTGCAGAAGCGCCCGTGTCTTCCCCCGGAGCTTTGATTCCTCACAAAGCTCGCGAGTCTCCACTTCCTTGCCACGCCTCGCTGAATAAAAAAGCATGAGCTCGAACAGAACGATGATTAGGGGCTCTTGGCACTCTCCCTTTTGCCTTCCTATGAAGGGATACTCGCTTCAACTGCTGGACGATAAGAAATCAAGAGAAAGCAATTACCGGGCCTTCCGACGCTGATGCACATCCGTGCACTGCGCAATCGAAAGCGCACGTTCGATCATTGTATTTTGAGTCGGCCTCCCGAAAAGTAGTAAAGAACTTGCGCGCTGGTTTATGTTGGGTTTTCGTCCGTGATCGGTCCGAAGTGTCGTTCATCGTGAGTCCCGGGTTATTCGTCGTCGTGAATCGTAAGGTGAGGATTGGAAAAAGTACAAGTCAAGGAAAATGTCTGTGGATAACACAGGACGGTCATCTGGCGCGTGGTGATGCACTTGGCGCTGCCGTCTTCGTGGTGACCATCGTCGTACGACCGTTGATCTGTGGTCATGCTGCACCCAGCTATCGTCTGCCGCCCACTTTGGCCGACTGGGACTGTGTCCCTGGTTCGTTGCGCTGCCTCTTGACAGAAGAATCGCCGTTCGTGTAGTGAGGCTCATCATCGTCGTCACGTCCACGCTTGTTGTGGGTGTTGATGGCACCATTCATGGGAGGGTACTGCTGTGGCGCTTGCTGATAATGAGACGGATAGCCTGCATCAGCGCCGTTTGGAGCGCCTGGTCGGGCATCATTGCTCATGACATAGTTCAAGTTGCTGGAAGGTAGCTGCCCTGGTCGTGGAGTGGTGTTGTTGTATCCTGTGTAGGCACCAGTGGTACGAGGGGTCGAAGAGCCGTGCACGCCGTTCTGGTGTGGCGAATGAGTCTGCTCGGGAGATATATTCGAAGGCTCTGGGTGAGCAGGCCCTGATGCTGCGTTAGGATTGTAATTGTACGATGGGCGTCTGGCGCCATATGACGCACTATGGGTATATTCACCCTCGTGTTCTCCTTCCACATCCTGCTGACCGTTGTAGACGTTGTGCTGAGGCTTGGATTCGACATGGTCGTTCTCAGCACCAGCACGAGCAGGAGGCCCCATTTCGGACTTGACCCCGCCTGGACTCTGCTGGATCGGGTTGTAGCGAGGCATACCCCCGTACTGCTGCCCATACTGCGATGGCGCCGAATAATACTGGCTGCTGTACGCCGGCTGACTGGTCTGATACTGGATGTTCTGCGAATTACCAGGAGAGGTGGCTGCTAGAGATAATGGGTCAGTACGTGCCACGGCATTCACGTACGAAAGAGACTGACCGGATTGCACAGCGCCAGGTTGACCGCCATATTCGTATCCAGTGCTCATTCCCAGTCCGGAGCCCGTGGTAGGTGGTGTGGAAAACGTGTGAGCTCGCTCCATTACCGGTCGGCCGGCTCCTGGATGAGGGGCAATGGCATGGGGAGGCTGAGGCGCTCCGCTGATCGGAGTGGACATGGAGTGATGGTGAGTCAATGCCGGGGCCTGAGAGCCTTGCGGTGTACGCATGTACTCCTGCGAAGAGTCCGGTCTGCGGGCCGCTGCGGCCATCGCAGCATTGCCGATGCTCTGGCGGGCCTGGTTCGTAGGGTGGTAGAGAAGTGCACCAATGTTGTGCACAAACAGGGGGTAAAGAAGCTCTGTAATCTTCTCCTTGTTCGCGAAATCCAACGCGCGATCAAAAGGTATCCTGCTTCAGGTCAGCCCAGTGAATCGAAAGTCGGAACATCTCATGCTTACCAGACACCCTTGAGATGCATCGGTCCAATCTTGACCACATGTCGCGTCTTCTCGCTCTTAAGAATACCGTCGCGGCGACCGCGGGTCATGCCAGCGACATTGAGAAGCTTGGTCCCGTTGATAAAGTGATTGTCCTCGCGTCTTGCGACACAAACGCCATTTGCCTCCACTTGGAAGCACAAGCTACCTTCGTCCTCCCACAGTGTCGCCGTCACTCGCGGCTTCATACCTGGAGGAGCTATCTGGCCCGTAGTATCGTACGTCTGCTGCGAGTACTGCTGATTAGTGCCCGGAGGCGGCTGCACATTGGATGCCATGGTTGGCAGCGGAAGTGACGCCTGAGGAATCATCTGCTGGCCCATGGAGGATGTCGCAGGATGCGCGTGGGGTGCAGACATTGGTGGCATTGTGTTCCCGTACGAGTGCTGCGAGTACGACTGCGGCGGATATGAGTACGTCGCCGGCTGTAGCGGCTGAGGCTGACCATAGCTCGGGTATTGTGGCATGTTGGGAGCAGGCGCCGCCTGCTGGCCGTGGCCATCCATGTACGGTTGTGGTTGGTTCATGCTGGAATAACCAGTTGCGCCGAACGGTTGTAAGAGTGATTGCGAATGTTGGGGACCGGCCGAGTGTGGAGATGGGGTCTGGAAGTCGCCGTGCTTGTTGTTACTGACGGAAGGCGCGTAGGAAGTGTTGGAATCGTATGACTGGTTGCTGATGGAGTGTCCACTGGATGATCCAGCCCGAGGTGAGGAGCCAACAGACGACGCGCTCGCGTGCTGCTGGTGATGCTGGTGCACGTCGTGGGAAAAAGGCGTGCTCTGTGGTGCAAACGCGGGTGCAGGCCACTGGCTGTCGTTTCCTCGGGTCTGGTATAACTGAGATACAGGTGGCAGCTCCAGCTTGACGGTTGCAAGGGGGAGTATGAAGCTCGACGGATTGTCGAACTACAACAATAACAAGACGATGGCGCTGTTTCGGCAGAGCAGACAAGAACCTCGGATGCGGAAAGAACGCTGAGATGCTGAGGTCGAATTTCGAATCTTGCAGGAATCGCGCGCGTCAATCGTAAGGTTGTTTGTCTTTCGTATATGCGGGTTCCGTGATAGTCGTCGATGGGCAAAACAGTCCAAGTCGTGATGCTACAATGAGGCCAGGCCGATAGCAGTGCTGCAATGGACAAGACACCCAAGCAAAGTCGTAAATGCGGTCGTTAAAAGTCGTTATGGTCGTAACAGGTCGTTGGCGTCTCAAATGGCCTGTCGTCCGCTGATACTCACACGAACCTACATGAAGAGTGTGAAGTCAGCAATGTGTTCGTGAGGTGTGTGTCTCTGTCTCCAGTGCTACACCGTGTCGCAGCGGGATCTCTGCACGACGGCGACTACAGACGCACCCGATGCTCTAAAGGTATGCAATGCATGCAGAGAGGAGCAGCGGTTCGCGAAAGCAGTGGGGAGCTGGTGTATCTAGGACTGGAGAGGATGGCTGGTGGGAGCTAAAGCCCGGCTAACTCAATCGCATGCAGGACGGCAGGCGGGACCAAGTAATCAGCCCGCTTGCGCAGAGGCCTTTTTTGGCGCTATGCCACATCCGACGCGAGAGGCGAGGGGGTTGGGGTGGAGTGGAGCCTGGGTCGCCGACGGGAGAAAAAACATGGCGGCGACGGGAGCGAGGTGGGGAGGAGCGGCTCAGCACACGTTGTACGTACCTTGATGTGTGCCCGTCGGCGATACCTAACGAGGGTGGGTGGGTGGTGGGTGGTGGTGTTGGTGGTGATGGTGGGGGTGGTGGTGCTGGCGGTAGAGGTGTTGCTGGTGGTGGTGGAGGCGGTGGCGGGCGGGCGGGAGCGACAGCTGGTTGCGGGCCAGAGCGTGCGTGGTGGGAGACAGAGAGGCGCGGCAGTCGCTGTTCGTTGTGTCTTGCGTTTGCAGCAGCAGTGCAGTGTGCAGTGTGCAGTGTGCAGTGTGCAGTACTGCGGGTGCAGGTACTGAGACGGGAGGCAGGCACGGGTGTGATGCAGTCGCGATGCACGCCAGCAGATATGCAGATGTGATGCAGCAGAAGAGACGCCGGGCGGTGGTGGTCCTTCCAGGATTAGGCGATGGCCTTTCTGCTGCTGCTGGCTGCCGCTGCTGGCTGCGGGCTGCTGGCTGCTGGCTGCGACGGCTACCTCCTAGAGAGAGCTGCTGCTGCTGCTCGGTGGTCGGAGCTGTCGGTGGTGATGTGTTGTGCTGCTGCTAGCTGCTAGTACTGCTCGATGCCGCGTCGGCACGGTTGCAAGGCAAGACTGCAGGCAGGCAGACGGACAGACAGGCTGGCAGGCAGGCAATTCCTCGTGGGCGAGAGAAGTTTGGCTCGAGTGGTCGGTCGGGGAATGGACGCACAGCAACAGCTTGGACGAAAAAAGAGGCACGCGATGGGCTTTTTGCTGGCACTTTGAGTTGATTGAGAGTGAGACACGAGGCGGAGAGGAATGTGCACGGGCTTCCAGCGCCCGCTGTTAAAAATGCATGGGCCACGGGTGGAGTGGCTTGGACAAGGAAGGCCGATGATCTTGTCTGTGTCTGTGCAGGGCAAACCTTGGGCCGCGACGAGATCTCGTGGGCCACTGGCGCCAGCGATATCTGGCCTCGATATACAGTGCTGGTCAGTGGTCAAGTGGTCAGTGGTCCCTGCCGGGCGAGCGATGAGGAGCAGCGGCCAACAAGGTGTGAGTGAAAGAAAGGCTCTTCTCGCCCGGAGTCGAAACTAGCTCGTTTGTGATGCTGATGCGCGCGCACCGTGTGTTTTGAATGTGTGGGTGTGTGTGTGTGAATAAGGTCACTTAGGTACCTCCTAATGGCCCTGCGGAACTGCCCTGCCTCAACTCCTCCTTCGCGAAATGCGCACGGTCGGATTGTTGTCCGAGCCAAGTGACCCCTACGACCAGACGACGAGGTACAGTATCTACCTCCCCTACGACGACTACGACGAGGACGTTGTGCTACTGCTACTGCAGAACGCACGAGGGAGAACAGCGAGTGAACCGCTGGCGCACTGAGGACATGACAGGCCCGGAAGTGCGAGGCGGTCGCGCGAAAACAGCCACACCGAAAACGCGATCATCCAGTGTGGTCGATGCCCGCTCCCAGTTCGCAGCGTCAGGATAAACGATCAAGCCGTGCTTGGATTATTACAGCGCTCGTTCTCGAAGCGGTAAGGTCGTCAAACGCATCGCGCGGCTGGGCGTGCCGATGGGGAAAAAAATAGTCAGCAGAGCACGCTATCGTTACTCGCACGACGGGGCCTATTTTTGCTTGATTCGAGCAGCACAATGTCTCGTGTTCGCATCATCTTTCTCAACCGTTCCTGTGCACAGTTGCACTCTCTCTCTCTCTCCTACCTCCTCCTACGACTAGCTCCTACATAGCGACCACAGCAACAGCCTATTTGGTGGAGAGGGTGATCAATTGTCACAACTCATGCACACTCTCTGTGACTCTGCTGCTTGAAACGCTCGAGCAAAACGCTCCGCTCGCACGGGCCTTTTTGTCGATGTTCGTCTCGTCTCGTCTCGCCCCCCATGTTTGTCAGCCATTCTGGCAGCTCGGTCTACCCGCCGTCTGCTCTGCGCGCGCGCCCGCGCTATGTCCATCTTCTTGTTGAACGAGGTAGTGTTATCTAAGCTCCTTGTGTTGACTCAGCCGACAATGACCGGTACGGAAGTATGGTGGATGTCGTAATAAGGGAAGAAGTGCGAGCCGCGCCTTGGATAAAATAGTAGGCGGGCACCATTGGCTGAAAGCCCTTGCATCGGAGTGCTCGCACTCTGGAGTGGCGTAACATCTCATTGCTAGGTGCTACGCTATCCACCCTGGTCGGTCCGCAGCCCTGCTCAGCGCTGGAGATTGACCCGAAAACGATTCATTGGCCCGAGGGATGATGAGATCGAACTCTCAGCTCCTTCCGGAAAGGGCAAGGAGCGCGGAGGAAACGAGTCTTGTCAGACGGCCAGGAGTGCTGGAATTGCCCATTTGCCCTTGACACGAGCCGACAGTAGCATTGTCGAAAAAGGACACGCGAAACATGAGAGCGGTCGTCCAAGACTCACAAAAAAGATCCGGTTGTTGTGCACAGCTGCAGCGACGGGATGCACAATGCGGGTATGCAGCTTTCCGCTTCTCTGCATGTGATCCGGGCGTGGCTAGGATAAAAGCAGAGGGCGGGCGGGCGAGCTGGGGCCATCATCATCATCGACCATACATGTACCCTAGTAGTCACATAATATGATGAGAATAGTGTACAGGACAGTAACACGCGCCCCACGGAGCACACGCAGCTCCCGCCTCATCACCCCCCTCGCGGGTTCCGCGATAATGGTGGATGAGGAGGAGGAGGAGGATGATGAGGATGATGATGAGGATGCCTGTCAGTCGAGCCAGCGCACAGCGGCGCTGGGAAGAAGGAGGTGGTAGCGATGGACCAGCATGGCAGCAGCGCCAGCACCCACACAGGTCGAGAAAGCAATATCACATCCCGGGGCGCCGTGAGCGACAGGATCCCAGCGAACCACACTTCAGAAGCCATCTCGAATGGAAGCCGTCCACGTCGACGATGTGGGAACCTTAAATACGCCACTGCGGACGCATAGTCACACGGGCGGTCCAGGATATGCCCGCCCTCTTCATGGGTATTCCCTCCTATGAGCGCTGTGTGTGGTGACCCCCCTCCTGCTGACGGGAAAAAAAAGGGCTGCTCGAATGATATTGTGTTGTTGTTGTTTCACAGTTGAGAAAGGGCGTCAACGTGGCAGCTCTCGCCCTTGTTGTGCACACGAGAGATGCCGGCATCGACAAACCTCCACCAGCTGCAGCCTTCATCGACGTCGATCCTAGCGGGGTTTCCCTTCACCGCTCTTCTCCCTCTCCGCAGCTTCGCGGGTGATGATTGGCGCTGTACACAAACGCGAGCCCTCTTTTCTCTTGCTGTTGATGTTGATGATGATGTTGATGTTGTTGTTGTTGGCCAATATCACGGAGTCTCACTCGGATACCACCTATAGTAGTTCTGTACCACACAAATGTCTCGCAGGATGCAGGAAGTCAGGGCCAGTGTTCCCATGCTCACGAAAACACGGTGGGTGGGGAGAGAAAGGAGCATGCATCCATGCATGGCCATGCCATGCCATTGTTCTTCACCTTTTCCCACACCAACAGAAAATCGTGCCTGCACGGGTCTCACCAGGGATCTTTGCTGCTTGTGAGGCTAGATGCGGCGGCAGCGTTGCGCCATCTCGAACATCATCATGGCAGCAGCAGCAGCAGAAGACACTTGCATGCGCACGCAGATTAGGCCTCGTCTACTCTGTCGATATGTCGATAGTTAAATTGTCGATAGTTGTCGGAAATTATCGTCAGCGTCCATCTGTCGATAGTAACGATAGCTGAGTAGACACCTGTCAATAGTTCTATAGGGATACCCTTGTCTCCGCGCCGTCGTCGCCGTAGAACCCACTGTATTGCCGCCTTGGCTAATTTAACACACTATCATCCGAGACGTGTCGTACCTCCTACGTGTCGTTCTATTCATCTCTATCCAGACGCGTCGTATCGGCCGAGTTCTACTATTATATCTATTTTATTTTATCTACCTCTTTCCAGCTGTTGCTATTATATCACAATGCCGCCTATGCCGCCAAGCGCTACCAAGAAGCCCCGAGGCGTCAAAAAAACGAGAACCGCGACTTAAACGAAGGCCGCTGCAAAGCGTAAAGCGATACGCGACGCGAAGAAGGCAAAGGACACACCAAAATACCCCGAATTATCGCGGTACGAGGACACTTATATCGACTTCTTCTTAAGGCGTTTGATCGATTCCAAGGCCAAACAGACACATAGAAAGAACTTCCGTAGCAGTGATCTACTGGCGATCGCGTTAGTAATGCGCGAAGAGTTCAAAATTCACTTTACTAGCGAATCTTTGAAGGCCAAATAGCAGAACGATATCAAGCCGACTTGGGGTATTTGGCTACGACACCTATCACATGCTTCTGGTTACAATAGCCCTCCAGATAGAGCACCAACCGCTGTCGCTGCCGCTAGGGAAGCGCACGAGGCAGCGTACCCCGAGTGCTATCGGTTTATGGACGGTACTGAGCCGTAATGGAAGCACTATATAGAAGAGCTCGTCGGTGATGAGATGGCAACTAGTAACGAAGCTGCTACTGCCGCAGATCTCGTCGCTCCGTAGGAGGACGCAGATACTATAGTTATCGACGATTCGAGTACGGATTCGGACAACGACGACGACGTTGACCTAGACGAGCTGTCAGATATTGAGCGTAGTGCGATCGTCGCACGGCGAGCTAAGAAGGCACATATACGGGCTAAGAAGAGAGCAGAAGCGGACGCTGCGAAGAAACGAGTACACCGCGTTGCTGCCGCTGAGAAACTACAGTCTACAGCAGCCTAAAAAGCACTTGAGCCGTTCAACAGGACACTTGCCGAGTATCTGAAAACCTAGGAGATTCGTGCTACGCTACCGCTGCCGCAGCAGAAGAGCGATATGGAGCTCCTATCGGATAGAGTATTAGACGCGACCTTCTTACCTATGCTTACGTTCGACCGGAAGATAGAGGTGTTGGATTGGGTTGGGCCCGAAGCATATCGTGTTAGTATTGGTATGTCGCTGCTAGCCGTAGGAAGAGAGAAGGAACTGGAAAACTTCGTTCAAGGTGCGCTCTCGAGACTCGACCGGCCGGCGCAGATACCAGAGCGTTTCGTCCACGACTCTAGGACGCAGCCGTCGTCGTATAGGTATCCGCATACACCATACAATTAAGATCTACTTCCAGAGGGGCGTCGGTGGTAATGTAGAAGCAGAAGAAGAGATAATAATTCGAAGCGGAAGAAGAGATAATAATATATAATACAGCTCGATCGATATTCCTATACTACTGTCGCCGCTACTGTCGCCGCTGCTCCTACTTATATCTCTCTATGGAGATATAGCTACTGCTCTCCTTCCTTGCCCTATATGCTCAACGATCTTATTACCTACAAGTCCATTAACTACCGCGGCCTCGAAAATCTCAATCATTGCCTCCAGCGACTCGACGACGCACCGTCCAATCGGCCTATCCCTTACATATACTGTTGCCCTCTGCCTTGAAGTGTAGCTCCTAAGAAGAAATTGAACCACCGCCATACCCTAAAGTGCGATAATCCTTGTCGTTCCTCTCGTTATATCTTGTTCAGCCACTCCACCTGTAGAATAGATATACCAGTGTCCTTAGAGTTTCATTACCAGTATATAATGCTATTGGTTAGAGGCATTGGCTATACTATATAATTGGTATTGGCTGGCGCAAAGAAATACCCGTAGGATATCGGCTCTTTGATGTTGTAAGGCCGGCTTCATTACTGACCACACCGATGCCCTAGGTGCAACGCTATATCGTTGGCGATCGTTAGCGTTTTTAAAACAGAGCACACTCTGGGTAACGAGAAGGACAGGGGTTTCTTCTGTTGGTAGGACGTCTAGGAATTCCCTTAATGGCCTAACGGCTACTAGCTATACTGAGCAGTCGTCATCATGCTAGACCAACGCTATTGCTGTACGCGCTGTCTGTACAAGGGCAACGGCCATAGTGTGTGGTGTGTGGTGGGTGGTGTGTAGTGTGTGGTGGGTGGTGGGTAGTGTGTAGTAGGTAGTAGGTAGTAGGTGGTAGGTGGTAGGTAGTAGGTAGTGGGTAGTAGGTAGTATGTAGTAGGTAGTAGGTAGTGGGTAGTGTGTGGTGTGTGGTGTGTGGTGTGTGGTATGTGGTGTGTAGTGTAGTGAGGTATGTGGTGTAGTGAAGTGAGGTTATAGCGAGCATCTCTACAGAAGTAGAGGGATATATAGCTGCTACAGGTCAATACGAAGAGACAATAGCGATACTATAAGACAATGAGCGAGATAAAAATACTATAAGTGAACAATGGTTCCTTTCAAGTATAGAGAAAACCCCCTTTGTCGTAAATCGATCGATAAAGTATTATTTCTTATAGTATAATAGAGGAACCTGGGCACCATTGTTTTCCTATGTTGTACGCGCGAATCGTGCGATCAAAATGGTCTACTTAGTATCTCGCTAGGTCGACGACAACTTGTAATATATATATATCTCTCTCTTTTCGAGGTCGATCGATCGATATAGTAATATATTAGGTACTAGAATAGAGGAACCTGGGCAGTATTATTTTCCTATGTTGTGCGCGCGAATCGTACGATCAAAATGGTCTACTTAGTATCTCGTTGGGTTAACGACAACTTATAATATATATATATCTCTCTAGTTTGGGTCAAGTGAAGTATGGATTTTGATTGGAATCTAGCTATTCTCGGTCGAAGTTCGTGTAGCCTTGGCAGTATACACCTCCCGCTGTATACTTTATAACAGTCGCAGAGTCACTTCTTATCAACCATACACTTGATGCCTACTTAAGTGTAGTCGTCGGTATATTTCTATCAAAAAAAGGTAAGATTTGGACATATTT